GCCAGAGCTGGCACGGGGCCGCAGGGCCGTGGCAGCCACACGCGGAGTGATGACCAGGGCACTGACAGGCGTTGGCTCTACAATATGAAGTTTTTTGGCTGGACTGTCCAGAAGCGACTGTTACCAACTAACCTGCTCCTTTGAGGATGTTCTAAAACTCACTACGTGTTTTTTCTTTCCCTCACTAGCAAACTTCGGCATCAGGCTCAGAGTGAAAGATTCGGATACAAGGAGGTAAAGTTTATGGTTGGCTCCTAAATGGGTGCCCTGAGATTTGAGGCTGAGCTGGGGTCTTTCAGGAGGGTCAGAAAGTGCTGGGGATGGCAGTGGCAGGGTAAGGGGCTGCTCCCCACGGGGTGACGCTGCCGGCTGGGTGCCGGTGAGAGCGGGACCTGTTGGCCCACGGCTGGGCTTGGGCTGCTGGTCTGGGCTTGTTTAAGCACTCACTTAATTAAAACAGAGAATTGTTCTCCTGTCCATGTCAGATTTAAATCTGTCACCTCCGTTTCTTGTGCAGGTGGTGTTGAAAGGCGATGCCAGGAAGCTGAACGTGCACGGGGTGAGTGGGACAGTGACTCCGAGGCGCCTGGGGCCCTCCGCTCGGCAGAGGCCACGAGCGGGGCCTCGCAGCCGCATGGCCTGCGGCCTCTGGAGCCACCGGGAGGATTGGGCTCATGGGGACGGCTGCCTGTGGGTGACCTCTCTGCTGCTTTGTGGGGCCAGGCACAGCTAGCAAGCAGAGCGAGGCCAGGCTGGCGCGCAGGTGGAGAACATGGCCAGGTGACAACAGTGCTGGTTGGGGAATTGGGAGGGAAGCTCCCTCCCTGCAGGTAGTTTGGGAACTGAGCCAAATTCCTGGCTGGAAACACCCTGGAGAGGGGCCAGGGGCTCCCTGGGACGTGGCACAGTGGGAAGGCCTCACGCTGAGTCCTGCGTGTCGGTGCCGGCCCTCCTCACCGTCCCGGTGTTGCCTCCGCAGCAGACCTGTGCTGTGTGCCTGGAGGATTTCAGAGTGCGAGAGGAGCTGGGCGTGCTGCCGTGCCAGCACGCCTTCCACCGAAAGTAAGTACGGCCTGGCGGGGGGGTTTCT